TCGAACGAAGCAAATTTGGAGCACAATTTTGAGACCTCATTTGTTCAAAAATATCAATTAGATCAAAAGTTATGGACGTTTTTCGTAAAAAATCGTTTTTTGGATTTTTTAAAAAACTAAAAGGGAGCAATTTTTTATATTTATCAATATGGACGGAGCAAATCGGGAGCATTATTTTAAGCTATTGATCGTTCAGAAATTTTCATCTTGCGGGCTAACTTCACGAGGGTCCTCAAGTGGACCGTACCCATGGATACAAGGCTTTAGGGTGCGTTCCCACTGAGCGCGTCACGCGTCGCGTTATCCGAATTGACCAATCAAAACATTCCATTATATTGCGTAATTTGTCGCGCGATCCTGGATTTCATGCAAAAAAAGATTATTTTATCTCTAGAATGTCGAGTAATCTAATCGATGCGTCGTGCAAGAAGTCGCGCGGCAAATGATGCAATAAAATGGGATATTTTGGTCGATTAATCGTGACGCGACGGACGACGCGACGCATGACGCGCTCAGTGGGAACGCACCCTTACATATATTCACGAATTGAGACAAATCGTACATCTATATATACTTACTGTATTTATGGTCATAGCTGATACCGTGGTAAAGACGCATAACCTAGTGTATAACGTAACCTAACATATATCGTTTTATTCAAATTTCGTAGGAAATTAATAGTTATTTGAATACGTAAGATTCTTTACATATATAAATTTATTTTATCATATTAACAATATTTTAGTATTATAGCAATTTGTTGAAGTGTGTGTTGTATGTGTGTATATGTATACATATATATCTATATCAACAAACATTAAATTTGAATATTTAAGTTAAAAATATAAATATGTATATTCATATTTATATTTTTTAACTAAAATATTTAAGTTTAACGTTTATCTTAAGCATTATTTTTATTTACAGAAGATAAAGTATCTAATATCAATGTTTTAGTGAAAATGGATATTCGTCCAAATAATACCATTTATATTAATAATTTAAATGAAAAAATCAAGAAGGAAGAACTAAAAAAATCATTGTATGCTATTTTCTCACAATTTGGTCAAATTTTGGATATTGTAGCTTTAAAGACAGTAAAAATGCGTGGACAAGCATTTGTTATTTTTAAGGAAATAGCAAGTGCAACAAATGCCTTAAGATCAATGCAAGGCTTCCCATTCTATGACAAACCAATGGTATGAACTGCATAAAATTTTATCTTTATGTATATATTTTGTACATTACAATATTTTTATATATGTACATATTTATATCGCTTATTTGCATATTATAATTAATGCAAATATATTTATATTATATAAATATATATAGAGATATAAAAATAATCTTTTTTAAATGTTTTTGTAGAGAATACAATATGCTAAAACTGACAGCGATATAATTGCCAAAATGAAAGGTACCTTTGCCGAACGTCCAAAGAAACCAAAACGAGTTGTTCCAGTAGCAGATGAAGAAGCCAAACGTGCCAAGAAACGTGCAAAGGAGCAAGCAAAACATTCACAACAAATTGGTTATCATGCTAGTGTACCTCAACATCCACTTGTTAATACTGCTGTTCCTGAACAGCCACCTAATCAGATATTATTTTTAACAAATCTACCAGATGAAACAAGTGAAATGATGTTATCAATGCTGTTTAATCAATTTCCGGGTTTCAAAGAGGTACGGTTAGTACCTAATCGACATGATATCGCATTTGTTGAATTTGAAAATGAAGTTCAATCTGGAGCAGCAAAAGATGCTCTTCAAGGTTTCAAAATTACACCTTCACATGCAATGAAAATATCATTTGCAAAAAAATAGTTTTATAATCTTTTTATATTATTCATACTACAATAAAATAAAAATAAGGTGTAAGTCGAATTGCATAAAGATAAATGTAGTAATTGATAATTGGCTTTGATTATTAACTTTACACAATTTAAAATATTTCACTTAATATCCAACATTATTTTATAATTGGAATTCAATGAACATAATGTTATTTCAATGTGATTTATTATATTACTGCATGATAAGTTATGTCAGATAATTAGATATATTAGTTTAAAAATATACATATGTAAGAAATAACACATTTAAAAAAATTTGTATTCCATTTGAATTTCATGCAAAAATAAATAATGTGGAAGAGTAAAATTGCTATTTAAGAAATTTTTTTCTTTCTAAATTCCTATTACATTTGTGAAATATATTTTTTAATGAATTAATTTTATAAATCTATGAAATTTGTAGGGAGAACATTTATTATTATTATTTAGGAATATATATATTGTATAATATTGTTTATACAGACTAGATTGGAAGGCAAAGTTGTTACACTTTTCTAGATAAATAATGCAAAGAATTTATCAGAAACTATATACTATATTAATAAATATTCATTATATAAAGGTGTAATTTATATCTTATTAATAAAAATATCAGAAAACAATTTGTAACAACCTATCCCACAATGGAAAAGATTTCCAGATAGTACAATGCTAGCAGTATGCCAATTAACACTGCTAGCAAATTCAATCATAATATTCATAATTATATATAGAACAGATTCCTATCCACTATGTCCTTTTTAAGCTTGGTTTCTGCTTGTCATAACTTGTCAGCAGAATATAACAGAAATACAAAGGCGCATACCTTGCCATCCTAATGAAATGACAAGAACCAAGAATAAATTTGTCAGATACTAACAGCAGAGATATACCAGAAATCGTACATGATGTGCTGTTATGATGTGATGGCATAAATGCACAAAAATAAATTAGAATATTGCAATTTATAATTAAATAGTATATTGTATTTTTTAATTAATTTTTGAATAATTTGAAAGTAAGATTTATAAAATAGAAATTGAGCTCTTACTTTGCGTCTCAAGTTTGTCAGTAAACTGAACAATTTTTCATTGTAAGGGTTGTTGCCCTGTTTTCAAACAAAATCATAGGGTGCATTTGATTAAGCAGTGGTTAGGGCCCAGAGATCTTGAGCTGGAAACCGGTAACTGCCGGTAACTGGCGGGAGTACATACATACATACATACAAGCTACAGACTTTTGCATAAAGGTCCATCTACAATGAGAGTAGTAAAGCCCATATCAAAGCCGGTTCTACATTAAGGTCCATCTACAATGGGAGCAGTAAGTCGTAAGCCGTAAGAAATTTACCAATCGCAGTCGATTATTCTTCTCATATTCGACTGTGATTGGTGAATTTCTTACGGCTTACGATTTACTACTCTCATTGTAGATGGACCTTAAGATGTCTTGCGTTATGATGTCTAAATGATTTTCTCTTGGACGTCTTACGTTCCATATTTGAATACGCTTGCTATCTGGATAGGAAGCTTTTTAGTTAAACACAATATCGAAAGTGAGTCACAATATTGAAGCGAAATGAAAATATTGAGTTGTGGAATCCACTTATCCCATTACATTGGATCACAGAATTCATGGTGTCCCATTACATTTTTAGATCTCGAAGTCAGAGTGTCTTGGATACCTGTGATATCGTGGTGGACGTCGGCGGAGAGTACGATCCCTCCAGGCACCGATACGACCATCACATGAGGTAAAATAGCATGCTTTTTAATTATACACCATTAAACAACATTTCTCTATTTTTGTTATTTATTCTTTTTTTTTCATATCAGAGAATTCCAGGAGACGGCGAGTACTGTTATGAAGAGGCCAGGATACAATTGGACGATAAAGCTAAGCAGCGCGGGACTGATCTACTGCCACTTCGGTCATGAGATATTGAGGAGTGTACTTTCGGACGTGACAGAGGACAGAGTCATCGATGAGATCTTCAAGAAGATCTACGACACCTTGATCAAGGAAATTGATGGCATAGACAACGGCGTGCCGATGTACGATGCCGAGCCAGTGTAAGTGGACGCTCGAAGTGCACAACAGCGCAGATTTCTCCGAAATTATTGTACAATAATTGCATTTGTGTTTGCACTACAGGTATCGGATAGTTACGGATTTAAGCGCGCGCGTAGGTAGACTGAATCCCCAGTGGAACGGCAAAGATGTGAATATCGAGAAGCAATTTGCGAAAGCCATGGATTTGGTCCTGGGGGAATTTTTGGAATTTGTACAGTACGCGAAGGACGTTTGGCTACCGGCGAGGGACGTCGTGCGACGGGCTGTGGAGAGTCGATTCGACGTAAGGAGAAACCACTTGCTCCGTCTGTCTTTTCGCTTTAGACATTTCCGATTCTCTATTTAACGTAAGATATTTTTGACCAGGTTGACCCGAGCGGAGAGATAATAGCGTTGTCGCAAGCGGTACCGTGGAAGGAGCACTTGTTCCAACTGGAGACGGAGATGAGCGTGTCGCCGTCGATAAAGTACGCCATTTTCGAGGCCGACAACGCTTACCGGGTCCAGTGTATGCCGGTGGCGCTGGGAAGTTTCGTGTGCAGGACGTTCCTGCCGGAGGCGTGGGGCGGCTTGCGCACCGACGCCCTCGTGGAAGCCTGCGGAATCGAAGGCGCCACGTTCGTGCACGCCGTTCGGTTCATCGGCGGTCACAAAACCAAGGACGGCGCAGTGGCCATGGCGCGGAAAGCGCTCGAAATCGGGAAGGCCGAGGTGCAAAGTGCAGAATAATATCTAGACCGTTAATTTTAGAATTTTTATGAATTTGTCCGTGGTTGTTGAACAGTTTTTATAAAAACAGCTCGAGTTATAAATGCAACTCGTTCGTGTACATACAAGTTTCCTTCCTATTTAAAGACTCCGATTATTTAATACACTCATTAAATCACGATGTAAGTAAATCATTTCTTTTGAATTCGTTGAATTTGTCGTACGTCAAATACCTTCGAATATATTTAATATGTGTATAAGGATGGATCAAACGGCGCATAAATTTATTACAGAATTTCTTAAAAATGGCTCGTTTATTGTGTAAGTCTCCTCACATCAGATCCATATAAAACATGGCACAAGTGTCTCCGCATGTTCCTTCGCGATCGGCGGGAGAGATAGCTTGATTTTAGGCGATACGTGATTTCCCAATGGTTGCTTAACTCCGCGTCAAGCGGCGTTTCGGGCCGCTGCCTGAGCGTGTGCGGCCAAGTGTGCGGCCTTAGCCTGGGCTACTTCGGGAGTGTCGATTACTCTGCCGTCGGGTCCAAGTGGAGCGTAACTGTAAGCGTAGAACGCAGGCGAGGTGGCGTACGCCAGGGCACCGTATGGTAGCAGCCCGACCGTCTTGGCAGCCTCCTGCGTGGAAACGAACATTTAATTAAATTCGTCGTCATGTCGTTGCGAAGGGACGTCGCAAGAGACGTGAATCAAACGTCTCCCAATAAAAAGCGGAAATAAAATGTGAAACGAGATGAACAGATCGCGGCTTACATCTGAATCTATACAACATTTCTATCTGCCGCCAGATCAACGTTGCACCGGCGGCGCTCTCGACTTTTAACAATAAAGAGCGGTTACTACGATTGAGTATCGGTCACGAATGGCCGTTGCCGTTTGCGCAAGCGTCTCTCTGTAGCTCTCTGAAACCGAGAATGTCGTACTTGGGCGTGAGCGGCGAGATGGGCAGCCTTGGCCTGGGCGACCTCAGGTGTATCCACCACCCGGCCGTCCGCGCCGATGGGCGCGCCGTACGTAATCGCAGGTGCATAAACCGCAGGTGCATAAAGGGCGGGCAGGTATCCGTGGCCGAGCGTGTTCCTGGCGGCCTCGTAGGCCTGGGTGGCGAGATGCGCCGCCTTCGCCTGCGCCACCTCCGGCGTGTCTAGGATCTTCCCGTCCGGCCCGAGCGGCACGCCGTAGTGAAATGTCGAGTAGGCCGGCTTCGCGGCCGCGATGGCGCATAATGCGAATAGAACGATCTGCAAAAGAAACGCACGCGTAACGTCTTGTGCGTATATAGCTGTCCTAAATATTTAATATCTTCGATATCTGAAAAATGTCCCAAAATTGGAGAGATTGAAGATGCTAACTATGGAAAATCCTAGCGATCAAGAACAATATTGGTTTCAAAATGTTATAAAGCTTTATTATAACTAATAAATAAATATAGATATTGTCAATTGTATTATTTGACGATAATCGAGCTAATCGTGAAATAGATCGTTGGATAAAATTAAATTTTCGCCCGTAAGACAATAACTTCCAGGGGTCCGCCGTGCCGATCGATTGGTACTCACGAGAGCCCTCATGTCTTTATCAGCGTGACCAAGCGCTGCTGGATGATTACCAGTACTCGCCCTAAGGTATGGACTGCTATGTCGTACCGTGTCGCGGCTCGGATCCCCTTTTATATATGTGAATCCTGGTAGGGAGTCGTCGACCCGTAGGAGGGGACCACACCCTGCAGCAAGTGCTATGCCGCGAAGAGACTGACATTGACATTACGTTAATGAGGCCCTGCCACCGTCTGAATCTGCCCCCGGGGAGGGATATGTATCTCTCCTCGGATGTGGACGCGCGCATCGCCGAGGTCAGTCTCGCACCGTCTGCCGACTTCGTCGGCCGGCTCTTTTTCACGCTCATCATCATCATCATCATCATCATCATTATCATCATCATCATCGTCGTCATCGTCGTCGTCGTCGTGAAGGAACGACCGCCAAGGGCTCCGGCGAACGCAACAGGAAGTCCGGCGCGGTACGCCGCACGAAGGGTCGATTACTTTTTGCTGGATGCATCGCGCGGAAGGTGACTCCGGCCGTAAAGTCTCGTTTATTATCGCGAAAATGATGGATATAATGAGCGTTCCTCTCTCATGGACGTGTAACCGCAACGTGCAAGACCCATCATCATCTTCGTGCACGTGAATTTATGTAGCGTACCAAATAAGACTTAACTGAGTGATGTAATTAAATTCAAAGACGAACACGTTAGCTTTTTGCTATGCTGGATCTCGCATGTAATTTAATCGGCATCAGGCTTTTAATTCATTCAGGCTGACTCACTGAATTCTGCTACCAAATCTAATACACTTTGGTCTCTTAAGAATTCGCGAATTCGCGATCGCTTTAACACGTTTTTATACATTTAAAAGTATATTAAATGAAGGTGTGAAGTTGTGATGTCTCGAATAATTATAACCGCATGTCGCGGCGGTATCCTAATAATCCTTTTATTCACAGAGGACAGAGATCCCTATATTCATTCGCGAGAAAATAAATCTTCGATAAAAAAGAAAAAAAAAAGTAATCGACAAGGTTGCGTATCGCCGTATTCAGCGGAGGATTCCCGCGTTCACCACAACTTCCCGATACTCACAGGTGCGGCCGATCAACGGCCCCGTCCTTGCCGATATCGAAGCGAAGCTGCCGAAAGGTGGAAGGGAAAGGAAGGGACAAGGCGCAATTAAAATGTATGAGGTGTGCGACGTAGAAAAAGAGAGCGCGCCGAAATGAAGGTCGGCCGCGCGTCCTCGAGAGATCGAGTGAGGTGGGACTTTTCCTGGATGAGATCGGCATGATCGAGTGGTCGCTCGAATCCTTTGACGGAGCGACGTATATCCGATACGTATCGGCAGGTGCGGGCGCGTCTTTTTGTTCCCGACGTCGAAAATTCCGCTTCCTCAAGGTCTCACTTCCTGAACGAAACTCTCTTTGTGCCGGTCGAAGCGGTCTCTCTCTCTACGCGAGACGTTTAAATCCCGTGGTATCTCCAGCGGGAAGCGAAATTCTCGAAGAGTCGAGGATTTCGCTTCGGAAACGGAAGCTCCTTTCGTTGGAAATTAAGACGCATTAATTTCTAGGATATATTTCGGAGAAAGTATCTTCCACAGAAACCTTTCAGAATTTTACTCAAGGAGGCTTGGAGTTACGGAGGAGAAGAGGAGAGGGGCGGAGGGGGAGGGAACTTGCAGAACCGCTTCCTCTTAATATTTATTTAAGCGATTCGTATCTGTTACATTTATTAAAACGAAATGTGTAGTAAATTCGTAACGCCTTTATAAGCGTTACGTTAATTATACGCTCCGCGCCGACGTAATATTGTGTTGAGCAACGGCCGAGATATACATTTGCACATAATGGCGAATTGTTAACCTTATATGGTTTACACGTACGTAAATGCGGTGAGTTAACCCAACTGGTTAATTAATAAAATGTCTTTAAATAATTTAATAAATAATTAATGAGAGATCGCAAGTGGGACACTTACGAAAAGCGCACTGAGAAAAAAATGCGATTATCAGAAATTTAAGTACAATTTATATAGTCATTGTCGGTGCCAATTATATATTTATACTTGCATTTTAACCATGTAAGTAATAGCTGTTTCAACTGCATTAGATGTTATGTGTATTATTCATACTACTTACAACTATATCAAAGTGAAGTGAAAGTAATTTTTTTATTTTTTTTATTCATTCATAATTACGACTACACATTTACTACATACATATTTTTTTATTTTATTTACTATTCGTATCTTGATATTTTATATATTATTATATTAATGTTTGAAATTATAATTTATGATACAAATTTTTTATAGCTAGTAATCATGATTGGGAACGTTATCTTAAGAAAGTAACGCTTGACCGTTATTTGTTACTGATTTTAAAAATTAACACATTATTGTTACCGTTACTTGAAAAGCAACGATTCATTATTTTTTTGTTATATTCTTTTTTAAATAAATAATAATTTTTTTAAAATAAGTTTAATTAGATTTTAAATTTATATTATTTGGTAATTATTATATTAAGTGTAATAAGTATTAAAATTTAAAACTCTAAACTAGTCTGCATACAGAGCAAATTATTTATTCTTATAGAAAGTTAGATTAAATTTATTGTTTTTAAACATTAATGTAATTATTAAGAGTGCATTCCATTATTCACTATTAGTAATAAAAATTTATAGTATGTAATATAAATTATACATTTTTAATATTGGTAGTGATTATCGAAATGTAGATCAAGAAACAAAATATTTAAAAAGAATAAATTAAAAATCTATTATGAAATAAGAAAATAAAAGTATAAAAAAAGTAACGACAAATTCGTTACCGTTACTGTAAAAATGTAACGACGGTTACCGTTATAAATAGAAAAAAGTACAGATAGATAAACGATCGTAACTGAAAAAAAGTAACGAAAACGGTAATGGTGATAACGCGTTACTTCCCAACTCTGGACTAACTATAAATATAATGAATATAATTATTATTATACTATAACATTAGTAATAACTAAAAAGAATTGAGTGTCTAATTATAATTATAAATATTTTACCATGCAATGATAGTCATAAATACCAAACGCTTTTTTCAATGCGATGTTAAAATCATCCACGTGGTCCGAGCATTAATGTGTAAACCTATTATATAAACGAATAAATATGTATTGAAATATATTAATAAATACATATTATATTAATAAATAAATATATATATATATACATATATATATAAATAATAAATATATTAATATATATTTTATTTCATATGACAACTTTATTAAATTTAAAATATATTAAAAATTACCAACGATCTTTCATATGAAAAGAAATACGTCTACGATATATGAGGCGTACTATAAAATGTCAAAATTGTGCAAACGCGTTTTATATGAATGGGTTGTAAGCGCTGTGTTTTATCACGTACTAACATCTTGCGTGGAAAGTGCTGCTACGAGCGGTGAAAAATGAGGCGGTGCCACAACGTTTTCACTCGCACTTCTACTCGGACTTACACGTTTTGAAATTTTAACCATTTCAACATGATTTTTTTAAATTAAAAATTAATTAAATGCTTTTGCAAGCGACAACTGTTCATATCTTTAATTATTACGATAATTTGTCGTTGATTCTTTTCGCGATATTTTTCAGAAAGCTCTAAGTTTTCCCTTTCTCCTGAAAAATTCAAAAAAATAGCACTCACAACATATCGCTCTAGCGATCACGTCTCATATGTATCGACATATGATTTCGCAACGTATACTCGTCATTACTACGCATGACCGCTGTTCGGAACAGTTGCGTTGTTAATTACTCTTTAAACGCGAAGAATTTTCACTTGTTTTCACCATTTCAAAATTGGACGAGAAATTTTCCCGCGGTATCTAGAAACTTTCCCGCGTGCGTGGGCGCACCTTTAATTATTAACGCACAGATACGCAACGATCGACGCGACGGCGACGGTCGCGGCGAACACAAAAGCCCTTTTCCTTGGAATTCGAGATAAATCTCGGCGACCCTATTGTCTATAGCTATTATCATAAGCGCATGCACGTGCGGCACGTATGGCCATAATCGAGCCGGGCATGGCCTTAAATGCCCATTAAACGACGTCCGCAATTAGCCGGCCAACTTGTCGTTTTCCTTCGAGAGCACACGCGTACGTGTGTGGGCCGAGAGGCATCGATCCTCGCAGCGATATCCCTAAATACCGATTAGGTAGATCGTGGCCTGGGCAGTTACAGCGAACCGCGATACGATAACTCGTATATACTCGCTGAGATAATTACGCGCGTAATTATATAAGATACTTTGAGATTCGCGTGAAAAATTGCTATGGAAAATTGCCTCATCGTGAGGAAATCGACTTTCAAGTTTGACGAAAGAGTGAAAAAAAGAGAAAGCCGACTATATCCCCCATCAAATTAAATGTAAATACACGTAATGCGAATGTAAATACGCGTTGTAAGGAAAAACGCAAAAGAAGAACAGGAAAGATAAATATCAAAAAGATTTAATGAAACGGGTTAACGTTTTTCATTAATCATAAAATATTCGTAATTAGCGTTTTTTCTTTTCCATGGGACGAGAAGCATTTGTCGATATCGCGAGCGATGTCGACGATTGTAAAAAATATGAAACGTATAGGGGTGTCGGAGTCGCTCCGTGAAATGTTGCGAGCCTTGAATCGAATTTCGACTGCGACGTATTCGGAATGGGAGCTCTCTCGGCAGCGCGGTTAAGTGATCGGATCAATCATTTCTCGTTCGCGCGGAGCGCAAAAAGACGACGGAAAGGTATGCCGCCAGTCGGCCTGCGAGGCCGCAGGCGGATGTTGACAGGTATGCCTGTTGCATACATCAAACGATACGAATGCTTACAGCGTGAGGTATATACCAAGTATATATGTATCTCTTCAAATCACGCCTTTTCTCTTCTGGCGTTCATAAATTGTAACACCGGGTCAATATGCCGTCGTTTACAAACTTTAAAAAGCTACATCCTACCCAACATATTATTCTATTTAATAAGTGTACAACCATCCTCTTACACAACATAATAATTAAACATGATCTTCTACAGACAAGGTGTAGCGGTAAGATTACGTGTAATGATGTTATTAAGTAGTGCAGCGTAGCAAAGTATTTTATAATTTCATAGTACGGTCTGACCGTCTGTTTGTCTGCACCTTCGATTGCCTACCTGTAAGATTTCTTAGAAATGACTTAACTTTTCAAACTCTGTTTTCGTCAATAGATGCCCAAGGACTTTAACTTCAGACAAAATATGAGTCAAATCAGTTGACCCTAAGGTCAAAGGTCGTTTAGCTCAAGAAGAGTTTAAAGTGTTAATTTTATAGAATGTTGTATTGTATCATATTTCGACATTTTTCGAAGTTTTTCCAATAGTTACAACGCTGAACTACTTACAATTAGTATATCCGTTGCAAACGGTTTGTTATGATATGTTATGATTCAATTATTATAGCATAGTATATCCAAAATATATCTCTCTTTAAATTGCGCCTTTCCAAACGTTTATAAATTATAATTTAAGAGCGATGTTCCATCACTTAAAAGTTACATCCTGTTCAATACTCTAACTAAGTTAACGGTCACAATCGTACATAATATTGTAATTAAACATGATCTTCCGCAATCAAGATAATAGTAAGATTACTTGCGATAATATGTATTATTATAATGTTAAGATTCGATTGTGAAATAACCATACGCACAAACACGTTTTAAATACGAAAATTGAATTTCCTTAAAGGTGTACAATAGATTTATTTCATAAGTCAGCTTTCCTGATTTTGCGAAGGAATCTATAATCGGCTAAAGAAATATTTAATTCAGTAGAAACAGCAGGTATCGGGAGCGTACTGTTGTAATAAAATAGGAAATCAAGTAACAACGGAATGCTTAATATTTCTTACAAGCTAAAATACGTCTTAGATAACGAGTCGATGCGTGAATCTTGCGGTTCAGCCTGAAAGCCGGTGATGCAAGGTGCATATCATTTACAAACGTTCATCACGAAACCCGAATGCATTGTATAACAAACTACCGTCCATGTAAAATTGAGGAACGCGTTTTCCAATTGCGCAAACTCTGCGGCATCGTTATGCAGTTTTATAATTTCTACATATTAAAATTTTGTCAGCTTGTTGTCACCAAGTTGGCCGCGAAAGAGCGTCGGTCACGTTGCCGCACGTTCCTTTGGTCGCAAAATCAGTAATCGTCGTAACCATTATACGCCCCGTCGTCGTGAGACAGGGGGCTCGACGAGTCACCGTCGTAATAGCCGTCGTGGCTGTAAACCGGTGGCTTGTAAACCTGCGAATGATCGTACGCGACAGGTGTCGCGGAAGCTATGTGATTGTACGCCGCCAGATGCGCGGCTCTCGCTCGGGCCACTTCCGGCGTGTCTACCACGCGACCCTGAAAATGAAAGAGACGATGAAGTAATGAGAGAGCGATAGGATTCCTGCGGCTCTTGCGAATTCCTGACTTTTCTTCGACGTTGTCATATTATTTTCAAGTTAATTACTTAATTTCCACTATTTAGAAAATGTGTAAAATTTATTTTCAGAAATTTCTACGGAGTAAAAAATATATTACGAAGTTAAAATATTACGGAATAAATTACTGATACATATTAAATTACGGAATTAATAATAGTAATAATAATAATATATCTTTATGCCAGTGAATAAAATCTGAAAATAAAACTGTAAGAAAAGTAAAATAAAAATGTTATAATATAATAAAATTATTATTATTATTATTAAATTATTTGAGAGAACTAATCTAAACTGAACATATGTTTAGAATTATTTCTGCATTATTGAAAACGTGGAATATTTTAGCATCGAATCCCTCGATTGCTCATTCGACTGAACGAGAATAAAAATCTTACGTCACGATCTAACGGAGCAGGTGGCCCGTGATATCCGTATCCGCTGTGATACATTTCATGTCCGACCGATACGGGTTTCGCGTATCCGTGATAGTCCTGATTTTCCGTGTAGGAAGCCGCGCCGTGCGGAACCCTCGCGGCAGCTTCCGCCGCGGCGGCGAGATGCGCCGCTTTGGCATGTGCTACTTCCGGCGTGTCCAGGACCCTTCCGTCGTGGCCTATGGGCGCCGGTGGTCCGTGGTACTGGTAATGCGTCGGTGTAGCCAAAATTATGGCAATGGTGGCGGTTAAAGGGATCTGCGAGCATAAAAGCGATCGATGGAGCAACATCTCTCGATGTCAATTATCGGTATTTTAATAAAATTAGTTTCTGAATATTTATTATTAATCGGAGGGAAATTTCATCGTTTTGCGATTCCCATTGCAAATTTTATCGCAATTCCGATAGTTTATCTAATTAACGGTATAGGGATGATAATGTCTATATATATTCGACAATTTCTTAATTAACTATTCAAAATAGTTGTAATTCAACAAAAGTCACTTACCAAGGACTTCATTGTTACGTTCAATCTTCAATCAGAAGTGTCACCGTTTTATAATCATCAGAAAGTAAAATGCTCGGCTTATATACTCGTACAATCGGTGATTTAATCTTACCTAACAGCATCACCCCACCCAATACCGTTCGGCTAATATTCGGACAAACTGATCGTTCGATTTTTGCGAAAGTGACAAGATACACAATCCTCGATATTTTCGCATCAGCGGCGCGAGACTGTATAACGCACAGAAAAAAAAGATGTATTAACAATCTAACTGAAAATAATTTTGTTGATTCAATAATAATATTAGCCAAACAAATGCAATACACAAATCTTGTCTTTATAAAATTTAACTTTTTTATTAATATGGAATTAACAAGATTATTTTTAATTAGACTGTTAGCTAATATTGTATAATGCAACATTATTTTTCTTCTGTGCGGAGCATGCAATTCATTTAATCGCGCGATTATTTAGATCCGTTCGTCTAATTGTTAATGGAATTGTCTAATAGTTGATGATTAGATCTCGCAACGAGAGATCAGATATACAGCATATTTGATTGTACTTGATGTAATTATTAACTTTTCTTATTATCCCCGAAGTAAACCGCGACGGCTCATTAAGCAATTAGACGCAGCGCTTTTACGTGACGGAGAATTTCCAGCGGCCTTTAATTTCGAGATAATAAATCGCGGGATCGCGTTACGGGTTATTAGTCCGCGAGCCTGTATTTTGTCATACGATATTCATTAATTACGGTCAGAAGAAAATGTCAATGTCGACGAGTTTAATATCAGAGAGTTAGCAAGAGTGCAGCTTTTCTTCTCGCGGAGACAAGAGAGTGACAGCGTTTAATCGGCACGTTAGAGACTCGACGCGATAAACGACGACGTCGAAAAACTCGCGCGATTAAACTCGCTTGTCTCTCGAATATGCTCTCCTCCCGGCTCTACGTCGTCGGGTCTCTCCAACCTTGAGTCTCTTTTCTCGCGCGCGGCGTTCGCCGGTAAATCGGGAGATCTCGAGACGAGGTGTACGAGGGAACCGATCGATCGATCGAACGGTTCCCATCGGCCGCCTGACACTTTTTGCCGTGCCAATTGTACAACATCGCTTGTAGAACGTTCGCGTTTTGGCGCAATCATAATTCCGTTCTTGCGCCGGCACATTCCGGCCTCCTCCCTCTATTCCTCCCCTTTTCACTTTTTCTCATTCTCTCTTTCTCTCTCTCCCTCCCTTGCTCGCTCTATTCTATATTTCTCTCTTTTTATTTCTAGCTCTTTCACGGTTTTTTTCCCCTCTGCGCTACCGATTTTTCGATCTGTTCTCGAAAGTCGCGCCAAAATGGTCCACTCGAAATGTATCTCCACACATCTCGCCTTTCGGGATAACCAGCGGAAAAACCGCGCCTCCTTCGCGTTTTTATCGTATGAAAATCAGGGCGGGCCCGTGTTGTAAAACGTTTCGCGTTTACGCTATTTAGTGCAGACGTACTAGACGCTCGTATTGTTCGCCGGCTATATAAGGTCTACGTGGCTCGATCGTACGGACAGAGATTCGCCTGATCTTGGATAGTGCGCGCAAGCATGAAGACCCTTGTAAGTACTCGATTTTACATCGATACCTCTATCCCTGAGCTTTCTCGCAACTGAAGGGCTTGCTGCAACAGTGGGTTAATTCATATTTTATAACAACTCTTTATAAACCCTAAAGTTAAAGTGATGAATTTAATCTGGAGTTCATTTTTTCGTCGTTTTTTATAATATGTTATAAAATATGGGTTAGCTCACCGTTGCAGCAAACTCCTTTATTAACAAAAATATTATTTTAAAAAATAATACTGCATTAAAATTATATTTAAGTATATTTTATCATTCGAAAAATAATATTTTTTAATATTGTTATTTTTTGAATAATAATATGTATTTATTTATTATTTTTACTACAATAATATTTCATCATAAAAATATCATTTTTTTCAAAACAATACGCAACTTATCGAGGAGACATTCCGTTTATCATTCAAAATATAATAATATTTTTTTATTTATTATTTTTACTATAATAATATTTTATCATAAAAACATTATATTTTTTTCAAAACACTACGAAACTTAGATCGAGGAGACATTCTGTGCAAGGCTCCATTGTTAAACTTTCTCACACAATATAAAAGGATCGCTTTCACGTCTGATTGTGAATATAATTTTCGTTTTATCCCGCTTGTGGATCTTCTTCGCGGCGCGCGCACAGAGAGATTTTCGATAGCGATTCCCTCGTCTGTGACATAATTCCCTCCTCTTATCTCTCGGGATCCAACTTTAAATCGCTCATCCGCGTGTTGCTCGCCCTTTACAGATCGTCTTATCGTGCCTCTCGCTGTCGACGCTGGCACTGCCGGCGTACGCGCCTTATGAGCCGTACGTTAACGGGGTGCACGGCGGTGGATACTATCACGGACCGCCGGCCCCGCTGGCCCACGACGGCCGGGTGATCGACACGCCGGAAGTGGCCCACGCCAAGAAGGAGCATCTGGCGGCGCACGCCGCGGAGGCTGCCAAAACGGCGCACTACGGGGGCGGCTTTTACGGTGGCGGGGACGGGGGTTACTACGGGGACGGAGGGTTCGGCGGAGGATACGGAGGAGGATACGGCGGGGGGATAGGAGCCGGCGGACACCTCGGCTACGCCGTCGGACACGGCAAGTACCACGGCCCGCCGGCGCCGCTCGGCCACGACGGACGCGTGGTGGACACGCCGGAAGTGGCCCACGCCAAGGCCGCGCATCTGCACGCCCACGCCGCGGAGCTGTCCAAGCATCTGCCGTACGCGACCTCCTACCCGCACGTCTTATATTGAAAACCCATCCCCCTCGTCGAGGAGCATCGTAAGGAAGGATAACCGGAAGAAAACCGTATTAACTGCTTGTCTGCCGCATTTAATAGCGAAAGAGTCGCCCTCAAGGGATTAAGTGATATAAACACGTCTTAATTACGTTCACGTTGGCGGATGTGCATCTCAAATGAACGTATAAATTCTCTTTTGTATACGCACGCATTATAAATGTAACGATACAATAACAAAATAAAATGTAACGTATAATATGAATAAATGATTTTGTATCAGAGATTCGTTTCTTCTCGTATCTTTACGTGGCGCAAAAAAAATATATCGCGAATATAATTTTTGTCGATAATTTTAAATGGAACAGGAAATTAATACTACGCCCTATGTTTTTCTCTCTCTCTCTCTCTCTCTCTTTCTCTTTTTCTCTCTTTCTCTTCATCTCCGTGCAGCGTTTCTGCTGTTGGAATTATTTACAGAGCGAGTGCAAATGTTTTATTTCACGCGGAATTAGAGAGGAATTTTTCTCGCGCGGTTCTGCGGTGAAGTGCTGGCGACGTGCCGAGCTCAATTACGGTACTCCTATACAGCGCGGGTTCGCGAGTGTCGATCGTGCGTATCGATCACTCACGATCAACTTGCCGAGCACCGTCAAGCTCGGCTAAACGCCTAAACACCAGTCGGGTATTGCGTTGGTGACAAACCGCGCAATACCTTTCAGATCAGACGTGCCAATAGGGCCCGATCGATGAACTGGCCAAGCGGCCAGTTGCGACACTTAGCGACACACCGCCGTCGCCGTTTTAGTAATTCAACAACTATTGTTATCGCCACCCCGTGACATACTATTGTGATTGATACGACACGTGCGGATAAATAAACCCATAAACCGCCGGGTGTAGTGGGTGTAACTCCATTGCGTGATCGCGGCCGGAAGATAGAAGCACGAGATAAAATCGCAAATTGGTCTCGCAATCAGTTACACTTTTTCCTTTTTAATCAAATGTGTGTATGTGTATGCGCGCGCGCGCTAATGAAAATTTACCGAGAGCTTCACTCATAATATCATCAATCATACACAGTATTTGGCAATAAAACGAATTCATTTCTTATATTTTTGAATTTTCAGACAAAAAGATTTTAGAAGAGAGCTGAAAAATTCAAAATAAATTGAAGGAATTAGACTTGTCAGAATAAATCAAATATATTAAAGTAATATATTGAAGTGCCTATCGAGTCGCCACGGGTGCGTATTAATTTTTATTATTATAATATCCAACCACATACAATTGGCGCGCAGTAATATTTGTCGGTCTTGAAATACAGTTCTTACATGAAATCGGAATCCACTTGTAACTAATTGAAGAATTTACACAGCATGGTGTAAGATACATATATAGATTTATTTTAGAAGAATTTAGAAAATGGTTCTTCTGAAATAAATCTGTATCTTACACCATGCTGTGTAAATTCTTCAATTAGTTACAAGTGGATTCCGACTTCATGTATAAGAACTGCAGTTTCAAGACCGACAAATATTACTGCGCGCGAATTCTTCTTTCCAAAATAAATCTTGAATATCTTTCAAAATATATCTCTATATCTTTCAATGGTACATTTAATCGAGAAATTAAATGTGGACGAGGTTGAATCATGAGAATCTCGAGTAATCCTTTGCGAAGGAATCCTCGCGACTTTCCGATTTAATTCCCGATGGCGCGTTTGAAGATAAGCGATGCCGGGAAGATCTTTGAGGAGAGTCCTCGTCACTTCGGCGAAAGTCGGCGAAACTCTTAAATGGCTGCGAACTGCATTCGGCACGGATGACGCGCATAGCTGCACGGCGTAGTTACAGCCGAGAGGCGCACTTTTAATTTCGCGACGCGAGGTCACGGGACACGCGCGCACACGGCTGCCCATTGTTACACGCACGGCGCGAGAAAATGTTACGGGGCACGGCGGTTGCAGTTAAGGAGAACGTTTTTCCTGGGTGTGGTTGTTACCCCGCGCGTTTGTCGCACGCCGCGGATTAAGCGGGGCACGGGACAGCGCCCGATCGCGCGACTCTCGTACCCCTATAAATTGCACCACGCGAGTTGATGGCAGCCGTAATGCGGATCTAAGCGCTGCACGTGCCGACGGCCGCAAGTGTCTCTTGCCGAGATCTAAGGGCGATACGGGATACCTTTGGGATACGCAGGGTGACCGCGATGATCGGATACCTCGTGAGTACTACGCTCGCGAAACCCGGGCAGAGGTGTGTCGCGAGATTAACGTGCCCGGAATTCCTAATCCGATTTCTCGCATCTTGACAATCGACACTAAATCCTTATGTCTAAGTCTTATTATTAGTCTAGCTTACTAATGTCACTAATTAGCCAATCGTTTGTCATCGATCGTAATTTAGTAAATAACTTATCAAATTTAATCATAAAATTCTCTTCCTTTTCATACCGTAAAAGAAAAAGAGACTGTTTTGTCCTAATGGAAGTATTGTTTTCAATTTCGTACGCTTGCTTCTTATTCAGATTTGAAATGAACGACAAAAAGTAATAACGAAAAGTCAATCGGATGTAAGATTTTACTATGTATATCGTAGATCCTCCTACTCGCAATGTCGAGCGCTATTCTGGCGGCTCCACAGTGGTACGGACATCATGCTTCTCCGGCGCCGTTGGGCCCGGACGGTCGCGTGGTGGACACACCGGAAGTCGCGCAGCTGAAAGCAGCCCATTTGAGCGCTCTGGCGGATGCTAATGCACGGGCACCGAAGGGATCGATCGGCGCTTACGGGGGGCCCAGCGGATACGCTTCCGGAAATTACATTTCGCATTACAGGTTCGTGTCGAACACGTTTTTCTACCGAAACTGGATCTCTCTGAAGCGTTTAGATTCTTATATGTATCCACACGCAACTAGATTACACTGAGAAAATTAAATGTTTTGATTATGTGGTACCGAATATATGTGTGAATATATAGAATGCATTTTAATGAGACTAAATAGAATATCTATTATCATGGTTAGAATTTATTATCATAATTCGAATATTTTATAGTTATAACGCTTTGAATTTAATTGAACTTAACTATAAGAATTCGGTTAATTAATACTTTCGGTTAGATTTATAAAAAAAACTTTATAGTTTTTAGTTATATTTAGTAAACGTTTTTTACTTAAAAGATATGACCTTATACGAAATAAATTTAGTATTATTACCAAGAAATTCTAGTAATATATTTACACGAAAATTAAAAATCTAGAAGGATCTATTTTGATTTGTTCATATACTGGTTGAATCCACCAGATTATGCAATCCAATTATGCAATCAGATTTTTTCCGGTATAGAAACAATGCTTTCTAATTGAGAAAGAATTGTTTTTTAAGATTCTATTTTATTTAAATTCCTTTCCGGAAAATCTCTAAATCTACCAAGAGTCAATTTTGTCAAACTAAACTCTCTAAAATCGTCCGACTACGTCATGTTGCAGCGGACCACCGGCCCCGCTGGGCCCGGACGGCCGCGTAGTTGACACGCCCGAGGTTCAGCAAGCCAAGGCCATACATTTCTCTCTCTACAATGCGGAAGCGCGGCGCGTGCCGGCTGGTCCAGCCGATCCAGTTGCCGTTGGCGCCTACGATCCATCCTGGAACAATGGCGCCTACAATTCCGCTTGGGACGGCCCGGTCGGCAGCTACTATTAATCCGAATACGATAGAATGATCGGATCAGGACGACGCGACGCGCGGAGCGGAATGCGCTTCCGCTCGTTCAGTAAACGTCGGCGATCTGCCAGCGAAATCGATCGCACGATCGCCGATCGGTCGTGCCTGGATCCATCCGTGATCCCCGACATCCTTCCCAGCTACCTCAAGAAAATTGGAAGACTAAGATGCCACATTACTAACTACCTCTCCGATCAGCTCGAACAAACAGTTCTCTCTCGCCGATCTACCACGGAAAGAACAATTTTGCTGAATCCAGATCTGAAAATAATTTTTGTTCAATAATCAAAATAATTTTGTGCGACAGTCAAAGTGATTGCTAGAATATCAAATATAGCAATGCTTATCAGTTCATTCCAACAAATTATTTTGATGATTCAACAAAAAATTATTTTCAGATCTGTTTTTAGCAAAATCTTTAGACCTTTCAACAAAATCGTTCTTTCCGTGTCCGATCGCAACCGTGGCGAAAATTATAAAGATCGAAGCGTAAGTCGAATGTACGCGAAGAGTGACAGAAGCGTAAATTGAAACTTCTAGGAAGCCGTAAATAAAAAAAAATAGAGAGATGTTAGATAAGAGCAAAATAAAGAAATGTTTACCTCTTAAAAGGCTCCTTTTACGTTCCCCGTTGTTCCAAATTACGCTTTCTAGAAATTTAGTTTACGCTCTTCTGTCACTCTTTCCGCACATTCCGACTCAAGCTCCAATTTTTCCCTTCGTCAGAAATATCCTCCTGTCCGCGATGATTTTCAACGTCACGTTTCATGCATTTCCTATTTGTCGCGCGCGAGTATTCGTGCTGCCGGTGTATATGGTGAAAAAAATATATGCATATGGGATAGCAGTGGCGTGCAGAGATAACTGCTTCCGCACACAGTCCGTCCCCTCCGATCCACACGACTTGAACGTTTAAAAGCTGAGGGAAATTTATTTTTTTAAATTTATATAAACACGGTAAAGAACAATTTTGCTGAATCCAGATCTAAAAATAATTTTTGTTCAATAATCAAAATTATTTTGTGTCAAAATGATTGCTAGAATATCAAAACGTTTTATAGTAATACTTATCAGTTTTAACATTCCAGCAAATTATTTTGGTGATTCAATGAAAAATTATTTTCAGATCTGTTTTTAGCAAAATTTTTAGGTCTTTCAGCAAAATCGTTCTTTCCGTGAATCTAGAAATTTAAATACTAAATACATCCCTTCACAAGAATTTACATAAACTTACGTCTCTATATAAACGCCTGCGCTGCGAGTGTGTTAATTACGGCTCTTCTTCTCTGAATGGAAAGATTCTATTGCATTCATTCACGGCTGTTTGCTGCGCTGCGCGGCGCTCATAACATTTTCGATATTATCGTATTCTACCGTTATACTCGGGTGTCTGCTCTCGCGCGAGAGTAGTACGCGACATACAAGAGATCGTTATCTGCTGAACCACGTTGTTGCATATCTCGTTAAGCATGATTAATCGCGTCCTTGCTAATGGGCACGGGCCGTCTAGGATCGCGCAGGATAACTGTCTCGCATTATCTCGCAGTCATAGAAAACCAGTTTCCTCATATCGTTTCGCTCCCAGCGGTTGAATTTTCACTTCCCGCCGCTGCTAATCGCAATCAAACAATCCGAGATCTATTACAGTTGATTCACATAATATCGAGATGTTCGTTGTCTTTATTCGCACGAGCGTTTTCTACGCAACCAACCGCAACGCGTCAACGCGTGACGTGCATTCGAACGAGGTTTTCTTGCGAAGCACGCCCGATTCGCGGACGACCGGTCATGGATCACGGATTACTCCGACAATCCCTCCAAGGTGTTCCTCTTCTTGTTGCCCAACGCTTCGTATCCTCGAAAATTGGCAGTCCATATTATTCACTGGACAATGAAACTCTCAAGGTGTAGATTTCTATCAAGAGATCAAGAAATAATTTTATTAACAGATATTTCTTACAATTTCTTTATATATACACGGAAAGAACAATTTTGCTGGATCCAGATCTGAAAATAATTTTGGTTCAATAATCAAAATAATTTTGTTGGAAACTCAAAATAATTGCTAGAATATCAAAACATTTTATAGCAATGCTTATCATTTTTTACATTCCAATAAAATTTTTTGACGATTCGACAAGAATTAATTTTCAGAGCTATATTCGGCAAAATTTTTACCTTCCAACAAAATTGTTCTTTTCGTGTATTGACTTCAATTATCTATTGCATTCAATATATGTATTATAAATGCTAACTAATTATATGTATATTGTAAATGCTCCTATGTCATTATTCCACAAATGTTGTGTCAGTGGTAATGCATATAAAATAATTTCATTAAAAATCATGCTGATTTTACGCGCGTGAGAAAGAAAATTACTTGATTTCGTTAACAAATATTTGCCAATTTCTTTAAAATCGTCGGCTTAAGTCATTCACCGTATTTGGTATATAATTGGAAACGCATACTCTCATGCCATTATTTCGCAATTCCTTTTGGCAATAAGACAATATGAGATAGAGTGTAAAACTATTTAAAATCAACGACGTTGAGAAAGAAGAGATTATTTAATCTCGTTAACAAATATCTGGCAACTTCTTTAAAATTGTTGACTTAAATCACTCGCCGCTACTTGATATATTATAAATTTATTATAAATTCATATGCCATTGTTATTCCTTTTTTTTCTGTAATTTCTTTCAATGTGATAAAACAATATCGGATAGATTTATTTCGTTTGAGGTCAACAGAGCAGGACGAGGGAGAAGATCACTTGATCTTGTCGACGCCGATCCGCGTGGTAACGTGAGACGGAAGAACTCTATCGGCCGACTAGCTCGCCGATTGTTGCGCAAATCTACGCAAAACGGGATCTCGTAACACGTAATCCCCGCGGTGTGCACGTAACGCGTTAGGCCCACGGTCGCGAACGGTGGCTGCAGCGATACTTCTTGCTCCACGCAGCATCCGCCGATCTCCGAGCGCGCGCGCGCTCGCCCGCGGAATTTTTTAGGTAGGTTTTCCTTCTCGTAGGTAGGCGTGTCGTCTCCGCTCTTTATATCTTTACATCGAGGTCAGTTCAAATTGCGCAGGGTAGGTAACGAAGAGAGTGGGTAGCGAGGTTGCGCACGCTTCGTCGCGAATAAAATCGGTTCTCTTCTCCCACCATCCCCTCCCTTCCCTTCCCTTCCCCTATGCCCCCCCCCTGCCCCTCAAGAAGAAACGCCTCGTTGATAGATCGTTTCTGGCGACGCGAATTCGTCAATTTGCCGACGATAATCGATGATGTCACCCTTGGCCCCGCGAGGTAATTTCTTCATTTCATTTCGGCGAATATCTCCGTCTCGATTCTCCTGATACTCTCGCGCTTACGATCGAATCACTCGCTCTTGCATACTTTTGCATCGAGCTACGAGTTACGATTCCTGACCTTTTCTGGCGGCGCGGTATTCCGAATCACGATGTGCTCGGGTTCGTTCTCTATATTCTCGAGAAGCTATTATTCCGCTCCCTCGCTCGTTTCTTCTCACGTCTTTCGTACACCGGGTGACCTATGTGGCAACAGCCCAGCAACCGTAACGCGAGATGACTACGTGGCTTCAGTAGGATTTACATGATATTTCTTACGTTCCCAGAATTAAATCGCCATTAAGAGCGTTAGCGTGTCGTAAACATATATTGTGTGTGGGAAATACGCAATGCGTACAGAAAAAAAAAAAAATAGTAACAATTATACATTTTTCCCGGTTTAAATTGGTGCACAACACAAACGGCGTGTGCGCGCCGCGCGCGCAGGCTGCACGATTAGCTCCACGGAACGTTGCACCTCTTTTTATATTCGACAAGTGTCGCGATTTTGCTTACGTAAAATTGCGTGCCGCAAAAGACGATCGATTGCGATACGCCGTCCCGCGGCCGGGCCGCGCGGGCGGCACCGCAAAACGCAAAACTTTCCTAATCGGCGTCCCACGACGATCCGATCGCTCTCTTCTTGCTCTTCCGATTTCTATCTGGATTAAGACACCAACGCGGTTGCGTCACGGAACCGCGCCGCGCGATTTCTTTCGCGAGAAATCCCGTGTCGCGATTTCTTTCGCGAATTCTTTCCTCCGCGCGCGCGGTCAAAGAGTGACAAGAAACAGTTAATTAATTATTTATCTTAATCTAAATTTAATGCTAATATACAGAGTATTGATACACAGAGTGTTAGAGAATACATAAGAAGGTGGTACACAACAAGCTTCTAATTTCGCAGACGTTAGTTAATTAAACATTTGCATGCGCGTTCGTTGCATCTTTAGATTCTCGAATTAACATTCGTACGATTTAACAGGGATAAAAAAAACCGTTTCAGCCGTATTTAAATCACGCTAGGCGCAACGCAGGATCGAGAAGTAGGCCAGCACATGAATAGAACTTTATTAAAACTTAATTGCCTATTCGACGTTTCACGACGACGAGTTAGATTATTGGTCGTCGTATTATTTTGTAATCATGTAAATTGCAAAATATTTTGTACATAATACGCTCATTAATTTACAATAAGAATAACTAACTTGTACCTCTCGTTTTTAATTTAAGATATATAGAATAGATATAGAATTTAATCTAATTGAAACAGGTAGTTATTGATTGTGCAATAATTATTTTCTGTTGGTAACAAATTGAGAAAAAAGGGGGAGATGTGAGCATCTAAGATGAAGAATAGGGTTCGTTCTTTCATTAATTTTTCTCCCGGCAGTCTTTATACATCACAATCTTCGAAGTATCCAAAGAAGGAGACGTACAAGCGATGATTGATCTGCGATGAGCGTCGCGAGAAACATGATAAATTCGTAAGGATAGGAAAAAAATTTATTCATCTAGAGTATGTACAGGCACCGGAACATGTCGATCGACCGCTAGGTTCAGTAGGCTCCTATCAGCTGGGGCGGGTAATGATGAGGCTGGAAACCCGACGGCTGATTGTACACTTGCTGCGTGGCGAAAGGCTGTGTCCCCGGGAATGGCGATCCTGGGAATGCCCGCGAAGCGGGTCCATAGTGTCCCGGATTGGGATTGAAGTTGATGGGAGCGGGGCCGGCTGGCGATCCGGAATAATCTGAGAAACGATATAAAACGCCATTTCGAAAATATCCGACATTTTTATTGACATTTTTAAGACGCGTATAAATAAATGTAATGGATTTATTAGAATAATTTTTGGTGAAATAAAAAAAAATGCAGAGGACGTAATTAGATTAATTTCTTGTGGAATAAGAATGTCTTTCGATATCCTAGATCGTAGCAATTTATATATGTATATGTATGTATATATGTATATTCCATTAATTTATTTTTACTTTTTATGCTGGAAACTATTCGATCTTTAAACTCCTTGTTCACTTTTCCCACAATTTTCCCGTCAATCCGTCAAACCTTTACATCTTATCGTGTTACGTTGCCACGAGCAGATCTTAAAACACGCTTCCCATCCACGCCCTACGACAACGATTCACGCCGCGGCCCACGCCACGGCAGGTCATCGGTCTCACCCGGTTCTGCTTCGCTCACCTTGATTCTGCCCGTCGTTCGGATGCTCGCTCGCGTGCTTGTAAGCCCGGGCCTCCGCCTCGGCGAGCTCGGCCAGTCTGGCCGCCTTCAGGGCGGCCACTTCCGGCGTGTCCAGGACCGTCCCGTCCTCGGCCAGCGGCGCCGGCACGAAGGTGGTGGTCTTCGCCGGCAGCGCGTAGCCCTTCTGGCCCACGTAGTTGGCCCGTGCGTCGTACTGCTGATGGGGTTGCTGATAATGGGGCTGCACCGGGGCGTAGATGGGCGCCGGCACGTGATTGGCCGTCTGATAGATCGGAGTGGGCTGCTGGTAGCTCGCCTGTCGCAGATACGGCGCCGCGGTCGGCTGTACGGCCGGGTAGCTGTACTCCGGCGACGAGATCTGCGGATTGTAGCCCAAGTGCTGCCGGTTCTTCTCGTCCTGGGCCGCGCGGGCGGCCGCCTTCGCGAATTCGGCGAAGTGCGCGGCCTTCGCCTGCGCCACTTCCGGCGTGTCGATGACGTTGCCGTCCTGGCCGACCGGAGCGGGCGGCGCGTAGGTCGGTCCGACGTGCTGGTGAACCAGGGGATTCCCGTACGGGGGCGAATCGACGTACGCGGCTCTACAGGCCACCGCCGTGACAAGCAGTAGAATCTAAAAGGGATTGGAGCAATTAGATCTCGATTCTAAGAGAGATGCATATTTACGAAAAAAATATTACATTTTTCTAAATTTGATCTAACGTTTTCGAAAAAAAAAAAGCGTTATTTCGCAGGCGAACCTTAATCGTCTTTCGGGGAGAATTTGGTAGAAACGATGCACTCTTTAGTCGTCACGAAATCACGAATATACATAATCGATACTTGATTCGCCGCTTATCTCGGGTCATCTTGTTGCGCGATCTCGATCGGCATTTCTCGCCGGACGGTTTCTTTCGACCTACCCCAACCTTTCACTTTCCTTTGTATCCCGGGATCACTCACCAGGCCTCTCATGATGATCCAGAAGGGGGGGGCGTGTTATCCTTCGCTGAACTCCCACACACCTTTCCAACGAAAAAAAGGAAAAAAAAAGAGCGCTGCTGCCGTTCGTCAGTACTCGCTCCCAGGAGTGGAGGGACCCGGGCCGGGCGTCGGTTCGCCGTTTTGTGTTCCTGGAGAACGGCCTGTTGGTACCATTTATAGTCCGCATTCGTCCGTCCCCTCCCACGTGGATCCGATCGCCGGCGACCTGGGGGGAGCCAGAGGTGATCGGCTAACCCGGTGGCCCGGGAAGTTTGCCCGGAAAGATCGGAAAAGGGAAGGCTATTCTCCTCCCTTTCTCTCTCTCTCTTCTCTTTCTCTCGCTCCTCGTCTGTCTCTCGCCGAGGGCGACCTTGACATTTGAACGCGGCTTCTGCACTTCGTGACCGGAAGCTAATGATCGGGGAGCTAATGATGCACTCAATTGCATCTTAATTGATAGACCTAAAATCACCATCGACCTTTCGCAGAGCGGATTTTCATTTGCTGAGTTAAGAGCTGAAAGACATTTCGATTACACTGATTGTTTCACTCACTGACATTTATTTCCTTTCTCAGAATTTTCCGACGACAATTAGTAACGCGAGTTATTAATTCCCTGTCACCGCGAGTTGCGTAAGTCAATCCGGCAGCTTCTTATCGAACAAAGGGATATGTATTTTTCACGCCCGCGTGATCCTGGTTAAATCATGTCACCGATAGAAGGGACCTCGATACTGGGAGAAACAACAAAGGCGTGTATCGGCGCTAACTCACCAGCCCTGAGTAAATGAAGGACTCGAAGTCGAAGGACGGGCTGTATTAAGAATACATTCTCACAGTACAAACCATATAATGCATTTATACGGATCCATACGTCAATTTACTCCGAAAGTGGACAATGTACTCCGCTCTATGGACCAAAAGTTAATTTCTTCAAACATATTTGCCATGCGTAAACATTGCAAAGCTCAATAATTGCTTCTAAAATTTTCAATTACTTTAATTTTAATTATAAATTTAAAATTGGTAAAATTATAATTTTATTTATTTATTTATAGTAAAATTATAATTTTAATTATGAATTTATAAAATTAATAAAATTTATACAATTTTAATTGTACTTAAAATTAATTTTAGTAATTTAAATATTTTGTTAATCGTAGCTTTTTAATTCGGATTATTAAAATGAAAGCATGTGATTGCGCTAAGGTAGGCTTTATTAAATTAACCTAAGAGTTTAAGTCTTGTAGCAATATAAAATTTTAAGAATAATCTAAGTCGAATTTGAACTCAAATAATTCTAATAAAATTGTCAAAATTATTTTTAAAATTTTAAAAATAAGATAACGCGCTAAGGTAGGCTTTATTAAATTATTCCAAGAGTTTAAGTCTTGTAGCAATATAAAATTTTAAGAATAATTTAAATCGAATTCGGACTCAAATAATTCTAATAAAATTGTCAAAATTATTTTTAAAACTTTTGCTTTATTTTGAATTTTTACTATTATTAAATATTATAACACAGACGCAATTGTTAAAATAGCATCTGTAATTTATCGTATCTTCTAATTAACTTATATTATTCTTTTGATTTAATAATGATCTTAACACAGTTCAACGCATTAAAAAAGACGAGCTTCGTAACTTTCGCGAAGAATTCCATATACGACGTAAATGCACATATCGAATAAATGTTAAACGGACACGGCATGCTCACGCACGTGTCGCGTGAACACCTTTGACACCACGGCGACGCGAACACCTTTGACAAGCCCACGCTGCAAAGTGCAAAGCCGATAAACGCAGACAAGCGCAAGGTGACGCGTTACTGTCATTATTGTCGTACGCGACCGCGCCTTTCCTCGCCGTCGCTCTACTCTATCGCAGCTTATCGATCGCTCATCGCTAATGCTTTCGATCGCATCGAACGAGTGATCTATCGGCCACCCCTGGAGCCGCGCTCGCTCGCCGATCGCGTGGTACGAAAGCGACAGGGAACGACCGTTTACCGGTCGCTCAATGTCAACACCTCTGCCCTGTCCCACGAGAGAAAGAGAAACATTCCGATCTGAACTCGCGCGGCACGAGCGTGCAGGCCGAGCCGAGGTACAGGAATTCATTTTTCTTCCCTCTTAGATTGGGCAAATCTTCGCACCGCGCGATTCGGTGAAACGGCGAGAGAGTATAACAATCGCGAAACGTCACGGTAATCGCGTGTGTGTAATACGAGAAAGCGGGCGGCGGTTCTTGCTCTCTCTCTCCTCCCTCCCCCCTTCTCCCCCCCCTCCCCCCCGACAATAACGCGCTCGCGACAAAACCCGCCGATTGCAAACCCACGCAGGCCTCTCCGCCGCGAACGTTACGTTAACTCAGCGCCTAAAACCTCTGAGGTTGACCTAAAAAATCAACTGTGCAAGAAACAATCGAAAATCGTACGCAACAAGTCTTTATTGTCGTCGTCGTCGTCGTCATCGTCATCTCACGCGGGCGATTGTGTCATTATTATATCGGCAGGATTACGTGCTCTTGGCAACACATGGGATTACAAGAGGCATTCGCTGTAGCATCAATCATCACTGAGAAAAATGTCTCGCAATAATGATCGAGCCTAGATGATTAGATAGTTATACAACTATCATAACAAATATTCAATTGATATGATCAAAATTGACTAAATGCTCTAATTTTAATTGTGCAAATATTAATAATATTTAGTAATTATTACCAAACGACTGATCATTATTATGTTTGATAATATTTACTAAATATTGTATCAATATGCTGAACAAAATATATTTGGTAGCTATTATTAGACTTTTTTCTCACGCACAATCAGTAGGAAATATTAATGTTATCTTCTTGTGATCCGATTTCTTGCAAGTCAGCAGATTGAGTATTTCTCGTTCTCAATTATCGTCCGATTTAACATGAAGCAATAAATTTTGATTACTCGGAGAAATTTACGGAGATTCTAAAATATAGCTCGCCAATTATAATCATAAATTTGAAGAATTATGCTTACGCTACACGTATTATGTCGAAGAAATATCGACGGGCCTTAACGACAAGTTTACAAATGGCGAGCGCGTTAACTTTCACGGTCAACGGCTTTATTTGTGTTAAACCGTAGAAGACACGCTGCGAAACGATTGTATTCCGAGATTGAATTATTACGTGGTGCGAATGTGCGGCTGGGAAGATTTTTCTGGGATTATAGTCTCCTTAATGGTGTTACTTTGTCACTTCGAGCACAGCCCCGTAAGTTTCGTATTATTAAGTGAACCGTCGCGAATTCCGTACCGGTTTTATGGGAAGAATCAATATACTTGTCGCACTGAATATTTCAATGTCTAATTATGCATTCTTCATATATCCAAGTCAGATTCTTATACAGCTTCGTTCACGAAATTCGGCCAGTGGATGATGGTGCATGCGAAATAAATATAGATAATTTCATTTTGCATGGAAATTTATAACAATGTATTTGTGATATTTATATAAAACTTAGAAATATTTTTATAGGCACAATTTATATTGTGACAATTTGCTCGCGATAAGTTTTCGGTCAAAGAAAATAAAAATACATTTTTACACTCAATTTCTATAAAAATTGAAATAATAATCCTTCATTTTAAATGGAAAAATATCATATTACAATGAAATATTCGTAACGAAATATATGTATGTCCATTAATTCTTTGTCAATCTGTCTGCACGGCACGCCTGTTAGAACGCATTCCCGTTGCACCTATCGCTAACTACGTTGCATCCTTGCAGGCCAACGTAGATATCTATGGAACTTTCAATCGTCACTTGAAACTCAAAGAAAAAAGAATTTTAAAATAGAATTTTGCGCTCCGTAATTAGTAATATTAACATTAAGTTTGTAAAAGTATAAAAAAGAAATTAAAAGATTATGTTGGCAGTATTCAAATTTGCTGCTATATTACGAAAACATCTCTCAAAATTCTGCTTTTAATTTACATAGAAGGTAATCGAAATAAATCTAGTCCGTAAATTACGGCGCGCAGGAGATTCGGATTTATTTACACTTTAATATGAGCTCGTATGTGTTAAAACGAAAGTGTGGGCTTAACGAAAATAGTAATGAACGAGCGGCGCGCTGTGGTGGTCCAGGACGGTGAGTGGCTGCGCGTGGTAGATCGATCTCGCGGCTGCGTGGCCGAGTCTCTCGTTGACGTGCGCCGCGGCGTGTTCCGCCTTGGCGAGGGCCACTTCCGGCGTGTCGACGACGCGGCCGTCGAGCCCGATCGGCGCTCCGGGGACCAGTTTCGCCGTCACCGCGACCGGTTGCACCAGCTGCGCGCCGGCGGCGGCGTCGACGGCCACGGCCACGTCAGACGGCGCGACGTAAGCGAGCACGTGCTGATCGGCCGACCGGGCGGCTTCAGCGGCCAAATTGATCTTCTCATTGACGTGAGCGGCCGCGTGCTCGGCCTTGGCCAAGGCGACTTCCGCGGTGTCGACTACCCGGCCGTCCAGGCCGATCGGAGCACCGGGCACCAGCTTGGCGTAGATCAACGGACTGGCGAAGGCGCAAGCCATCATAGCGGAGAGGACAATCTGGAAAGAATAGCGCCATGTCGCGTGTTGCCACGTGTTTTCCAAATATTTATTATAATAATTTATTATAATATTTATTATTCCAGAAATTTCTTACGTTAAGATCTGATTAATCCTAGCTTAGGCATCTCTTTCATTAAAAGTACAATTGGATTCAATTATTGTATTAACAGAATTACAACATGGACAAATATATTTATAGAAGTTAAGAAGACTATTATATAGTTATTATAATTCCTGATGGGAGCAAGAAGTATGGAATTAGTATCAAAATAATATGCGCGACAGACGCAATCCGTAATTAAATCGATCAGTCTTGTTTCCTTTAGCACGAGCGACAAAGTAAAATAATAAATAAACCAAATATTAGAACTCCCAACAAATAAAATCTGCATTCAATCAAAGAAAAGGCTATAGGAGTTGGCGTGATAAAATAATAAAAATTATTAAAAAATCACAGTAACCTTCAATACGGTATTCCTTACTAAAGACTTAATAAATTTCCTGCTAAATACTCACCAAGACCTTCATGTTGAACGAAATTACTCAGCTCCTCGACGCTGCCGATCAGGTTCAGTACTCGCCAAGGTGCTCGGTTAATATGCACCACCCCGTCCACGCGGGCTTTATATATACCCCCGCGGGTAAAGGAGGCTTTGTGCCGAACCAGGCGCCGCTACCAGGATGTATATCCCATTGCAACGTAAATACCAGTAAATAAGAGCCGAGACACGTATATCTGACATTGACGCTCCGTCATCTCGCTCCCGTTCGCATAATCGCAAATCATATCGGCTTCGTCGGTCCTCAGGACGCCCGTCTAAATTGGCCCATCGACCGACTCGATCAATAAGATCTGCATGAAAAAAACGATCGAGCGAGCGATTCGTCGCGTACGCCTTTCTTTTGGAGGACTGTGTATTTCTTTGATGAAGAAAAAATTTTTCGGCTTATACATGCTAATATAATAGTAACTTTACATGATGATGTAATTGATTAAACTAATTAAATTAACATTCTTTATTAACTTTCTTTATTAATATTGTTTTATTATTAATTCGACCTTTATTTTTTTGCTTTGACTCTATTTAACATATTATTACATTTTTTTGCAATATAAACTGGACGCTTGTTAGTAATGAAATTAATTTTGTCATGTAAAAATAAATTCTTTTATCTCCTTAAGAATAAAATTCGTATATAAAATCACTTGTTCCAATTTCAATTCTTAAGATCATTTGAAAAAATGTGTGTCTCTTAAAATCTATAATATAATCATTAGATCAATTGAAAGATTATTGTCAGAATAGTGCAGAAATGCAATGAACGGATACATGGATCGGCAAATCTGTTTTTCTAGCCGGGCTAATCGAGGATTAAGTAACGCGACAGGCACGCAGGTAGGCACAGGCATCCTTACCTAATCGAGGCAGAAACGACAATAAGCTCGCTCTAGAACCTGATTACGCGATCGACGTCAGCCTTCGGCGCACAGGCGCGACCTTCTAGATCACGGCCGATCTGGCCGAGAATTGGAAACGGGATCGGGTGTCTTCCCGGCCTCGTAAGAAACGGAAAGAAAATCCCTCTCCGTTTCATCTCGTCGTCTCCTCTTATCCAGCGTATAAACTTTCGCTTTACAAACAGGCTTATCTTACCCGCGCGAAACGGAAGCGGAGCCGACCGCACGCGGCTAATTTTCGAATCGAGATCTCTCCCTTCGCGCCCTCCCGCGCGCTCGTCCACATTACGTGATCTAGGAGGACTATAAAGGCGACCGCGAGGACTGCATCGGTACACGTCATCGAGTGCATCCCGGCCGACGTTACGCTAACTCGTCGTCCACAATTGCGTGGGATTATTGTCACTTCCGGGCGTAACTGTTAAGTGAGTAACGCAAGAGAGATGACGCGACTCGCAATCGTGCTGCTCGGTTTGGCGAGCCTGGCCACGGCCAAACCCAGCTTCCTGTCCATACCTTTGACGTACGTGACACCCCTGTCACCCGGCACGCAAGTCGGCACCAACGGCGGAGGATTGTTGGACGTTCCGGAAGTCGCGGCGGCGCGCATCGCCGAGAGGACGGGGTTGGCGAACGGGGCCGCAAGATCGACCATTGACGGATCTCACTCGCCGCGAGGACGACCGTCGCTCGCTCGCGATGGTGCGCCGTCGATTTTAACGTCCTACGCGCCCCTCGGCGCCGACGGCAGGGTCGTGGACACGCCGGAAGTCGCGGCCGCGAAGGCGGCTCACGCGGTCGCGCACGTCAACGAGAGGATCAACCTGGCGAACGAGATCGCGAGGTCCGGCGGCGGCGGCGGCGGTGCACTGGATTCGTCCGACGTCGCCGACGGCGAGCCCGACGGCAGAGCTCTGGACGCACCGGAAGTCGCGCGTGCCGACGGGAAGACCGATCCGATGGCGAACGAGGCTTCGAGGTCCGACGATGCCCGCCCGCGCGTCGTAAACGGTCGAGTGGTGCCGTTGGTGATCGGCACCAACGGCGTCGTCGCCGCTCTGGTGCCCGTTGGTCCCGACGGCGGACCGGAAGTGGCTGGCGACCAAAATCTGGCGAACGACGTGAGATCCGTCGACGCTCTGGCGGTCGCCGGACCGACGCTCGCTTACGGCAGATTGGTCTACTGAAAAAGGTTTTACCGGATGCGCTCTTGAAGAAAATACAGTTTGCTTTATACGCATATAATATCTTGTATTATATAACTGCGGAATTTCAAATGATAGTCGTAAAACTACTCGTAAATCCATTATAGAGATCAAAGGGTTATTTCGATGAAAAATGAAAAACTCAATAAGACAGGAACGCGGGAACACTTAAAGATCAATATTCATAGTCGGTTCTTATATTAAAGATCGTCTTAAGCACAATCTTGAGATGTCATAAGCCAATCACAGAATTATCCGTATTATCATCTTAAGACATAACTGAAGACGATCTTGAAATGAGAATCAATTATGAATACCTTAATTATCTGTTTTTTGCTTGTAAAACTATTATTTTCAATCCAAATTCTTATATATGTATTCTGTACTAAATATACAAAAATAAATACACGTATCGCTCATTTACTACACAACGACGTACTCAAACAACAAAGTTTTCCGGAAAATGAGTTTCGTTTTGCATTATTGAATTTTATAATATTAATTTTGAAATGCAACTTTAGTGTAACAACCGATTGTAGAGAAATAAAAGTATGTTCTCTCTTTTTTTTTCTTTATATTTCCATTCTTCTTCTGCAAGCAATTAAAAAAATGACAATTTTTTGAAACATGTCTTTGTAGCGATATATGCACACACGTAAGGTCAATATATCGTTAAAGGAATAAAATTATTACCTTACATAAATATGGCACTTCATTTAATCCCCTCATATTTTACGCTGAGGCGATTCGACTCGTCTCGATAAAATACAAATGCGAGACGGCAACAAAATTTTCCATATTTCATTGGTTACCATAAGATTTCGCAGATCCTCGTAAGCCAGTCGAAAGATTTCTCACCCCTGGGCGCGACCGATCGGCGTCAGCGAAATGACACTCGCCGTCGGAGAGACGTTCCACGTTCGGACACACGATCGAGGCTAATCGAACGATAAATTAGGCGGGCCGATAATCCGCGGCTGCACATTTTCCACGTCGGGATCCCCAGCAACCCCTTCGGCAATAACACGATCGCGCGGCGTTATGCGCGACCCTGACGGCCGACGTATTAGGGCATATACAGTCGGGCGGATCCCGGCCCGGAAAAAAGCGCCGTCCCAGCACGTCTCTCTCGGTATACGGGTAAGAGCGGGCAATCGGCGAGGCCGGATTCCGAAGACCGCGACCTCGAGGGGACCACTCGCGCGACCAGTTCTCGCCGCGGTGGTCTCACCGCGACGCGGCGACTTCGCGAAATTTCATCGGGCGACTCCGTGGGAAGAGGAAGAGGACGCCAGGAGGGCATGCAGGCATCACGACGCCGCAGGGCGTGGTTGCACGCGACCGCGTGCGTATATAAACGTGCCCTGGCGTCATGTCGCGTCGAGGATATACCGGTGCCCGTGCGATACGATCGCCATGAAGAGCGCATCCGTAAGTGCTCGTCCTACGATTCCCCGCGTGGGAGGACTCGCGATTCTATATAAGACCCGTCGAGTTTACTGCGCCGCCGTTCCGGGGGGGGTTGGTCCTTGCTGGAGTTTAACTGTCGAGACTGTTTCTACGAAAGATTACTCGGGGCAGATCATCGGGAATTTCTACAATTTTTAATATTTTAATTTTTAATAATTTTTAATATTTGAAAATTTTATTTATCTATCCGCAGAGAAAACAAGTAAAATTTCGTATTTCTCATTTTATAAAGCTAGATTACATCAAATTGAAATTTGTATTTAAAAATGTACTGAAAAATTTGTAACGATTCTTTTGGTACAACAAAAATTGGACTTGCGTCACTCTCACAAATAAATTGCTGATATCTATCATTCCCGTAATGTCATCCACTTTACAGAAATTTATAACATTGAAGAGGTCAAGTAACTTTCTTTAAATATTAAAAGTATTATTTGTTAGTGCTCTTAATACTCAAAATAAATAATTATTTGTCCCTTCCGGTATTAAAATTTCGGTAAGAGCTGATAATAATAATAATAATTTTAAACCTTTAACGCCTTCCGCGTATCTGCGACAGGTCTCACAAACCGTGACGCGAAGTATGTAAATTATATAAGTCGATTTTATTTTCAGCTTTTCCTTATCTACTGCCTGATCACCAGCGGCTTCGCCAAGCCGCCGGTGTTCCTCAGCTATCAGGACAGCCTGGGCCAGTACAGCTTCGGCTACAGCGCGCCAGGATCGGCCAGGTCGGAGGTCAGGACGTCCAACGGCGCGACCAGAGGCACTTACAGCTACGTCGACGGAACCGGCGTCATCCAGACGGCGCAGTACTTCGCCGACGGCGAGAATGGATTTCAGGTAATCGCGACGAATCTCCCGCAGGCGCCGCTCCCGGTCCAGGACACGCCGGAGGTGATGGCCGCGCGCACGGCGCATCTTCAGGCCCTGGAACTGGCGAGCAAGCGGGACGAGGAGGCTCATCAGCATCATAAGGGAAATCAGGCGGACGCGCGCGTAAAGAAGATCGAGGTGGAGCAGAGTGGCGCGAGTCTTCTCAGGCCGCGAGAACGACTGCAGGGAGCTGAGATCACGAAAGTTCCATTGAACGAGGGGGAGGGAAAAGCGTTGGAGAACGCGAAGAGCGTCGAGCCGAAGGACAGCGACGAGACTCTGCAGGCGGTTGCCTCGGGAAGCGGCGAGAAGGCGAGCGAGAAGAGCACGCAGAAGGTACGTCAATCACGAAATACCAGAGACAATAAAGATTATACAGAATACACGAAATATTAATGAAAATATATATTAAGATATATTTTATAAAAATATCTTAAACGACATTTTCAATAGCGCTCATCGGTCTCCGTAAAATTTTGCAAATATTCTCAAACATAATCCGGCTGGAATGCCTAATTATATGGGCGTTTCGAAATATTCCGCTCTCCAAAAGTTCTCCCCTCATCATCATCGGCATTTTCTGTGACACGGTCCCGCAGGAATCCGCCGGAAGTGTATCGCAGAAAATTATCGGCGGCGCAAGTATCCCAGCGATCCCATTAATCTCCTCGTACGTGCCGCTATCTCAGGCGTCGTCGGGACAACACGCGGTGCCGGTATTTCGGATCTCCTATGGGAACTACGAGCTCGAGCCCTCCGTCATACCGGAGTCATCGATCGCCGAAGGTCATTATTGATTAGTAACTCACCTCACCGTTCACTCTCTCTTCTGTTCTGATTGTAAATATCAAGTCGCCGCGGGCTGTTTTCGTCAAACACTTTTAAGCTTTCCGTTCGCACGTGTGGTGCCCCACAACAAGAACACGTCTCCGCGAATTATTATTTCGCTTGATTTGCCTTTTTGTAATTTAAAGCCGCGAGGAAAGATTATAATCACGTGATACCCTTATTCCTCTTCTATCGGAAAAAAAATACTAAAAAATACGATCTCATCAAGATCCGCGTTTCTTTTACCTTTTCTCCGCCGTTTCTACGAAGGCCGTCCCATTTCCGGGGCCGAGGACCGTCTAAGGTCGCTCTCCTCTCCCACCGCGATTGCGACCGGTTCGCAAACTCGTTCGTTGATACCGTAAATTGGCTTTGCAACAAATTATGTTGCGCAAAATTGTAGCAAATTGCAAAGGGCCACTAGAAACGAGAATCGACATTGAGGGAAAATGATTGTCTCGCCGTTCTTCTCCGCAGGCGCTTCCGGTGTAATCACGCCCGCGGCAACGGTCCTGAAGAGCGGAACGACGATCTCGGTCGATGGAGTAGCGACGCCGAAAAAGCAGCAGCAGCAGCAGCAACAGCAGCAGCAACAGCAGCAGCAACAGCAGCAGCAGCAACTTACGACTGAAAAGGTTCGCGCCGTCAATCCCCTGTCGATCGCGCCGCTGAGCGTGATCCCGCTGACTTCGTCGCAGCCGAACGTCCTCAGATACGTACCGTCGACGTCTCTCTACTATGTCGTAGTACCAGAAGTAGCCTGGAAAGTGTAGCGCAATTAGCGCGCGGGAGGCTGGAATAAAATGCTTGAACGATCTGAAATGATCAAACTCGATCTCGGGGTTCCTTTTCGTTTTTTTTTTCCGTTTGTCAAGATGTTTTTATTCTTCTTTACAAAATAATGCAGGATATTGTGGGACGAATACAACAGAGTGGTACACATATGGGATCGATACTAAAAGGATAAAGGATTAATCAAAATCAGCATCGTCGTCGCCATCGCCGTCAACACCGTCATGGAGACATTGGTATAGCGTGAGAAGTAATGCTAGATATATAAATGAGACGTATATTAAACAGTAATATACCTAAAGAGAGAAAAAAAAGAAATCTGACGCAGCTTCTTATACTATCGAGTTAACCGATGAGGGAGCCTAATTAAGAATCAATGTAAGATGTCCGATATAATAAAGTCACGAAACTACTACACAACAGCCATTGCGACCTACACGATATGTCAATTAGAACCGTACCTTCGACCTATTAGAAGCGTATATTATACCTTCGACATTCTGACCGCGTCACGAGACGTCAGACGGGGATTAGATTTGGACACGAGCGTAAAATACCCAGTGTTAAAATTTCATTTAAACTCTTCGCCCTCGTAATAAGTTTTAAATCTTTGATTGAATTGAGGGGGAACGGAATTGGCGATTTGAAAGAGGCGCAGTGTTAAACTCGCAATGCTGCCTCGTCTGCAGATGTTGCTCGTTTTCGAAATTGTGTTAGACAACCTTTTTTACACGAATCTTTATACTTTTACTGGACTGAGATTTACTCCTAATTCTGCATCGCGAGGGAGGAATCGCTACCGGTCGAACGACATCGCATTCTCTGCGGATGATTTAAGCTCGAGATGGATGCCTGTGACATAATTCGTCACCGCGGAAGCCTAAAAGAAATCTCGGCGTGTTGCAGCAGGCTCGTCCCAAATTAACTGACAGCTGGTGGAGCTGGTCGATTTTGCAGCTTCGTCCTCTTCTTCCCGCGCATTTAAGCCGCAACAAACTGCAACCGCCGACGGGCGTAAATCGCAACGTGATCCGAATAACGAAAGCGTTAAAGAACAGGTCCGCCGATGCCGCATTTGATTACGTTCGGTAATAATAACGTCAACGATAATAATGACACAATAAAATTATATTAATTGCGACTTTTTTTGTGTGTGTTTGAAGGAAGAGTTATAACGACGTAATTGATATCTGTGCCTCTCCACGTCCCGCCGTTATCCATTTCTCTATACATAACATTCTCTTTTACATATATATTTATATATATATATAAATCTAAATTTTATAATATGTATTTATAATGTTCATATTTATATATAACACACTTGTTCTAGACGTCAAACGCATTGACTTCGAAGCTCGGATGATCGATACCCTCCGATCCTCGTCGCGCGTACTGTTCTGTTCTTCTTTTTTTTTTATTAGTTACTGCTTTTGTCTGTTCATCATAATCCTCTGCGCGGTTTCTCCCATCTCTACCAGATATATATTCGCTACGCCGCTACCAGTGACGGATAATTGTAGCGCGCGATGCACGGAACGTTGCATGTAACGTTGCGGCTAACACATTGCGCGAATGCTCCGCGGAATATCTTTATATACCTTTATATATATTTAAATTAGAAGATACATCTCATTTACTCCTGGCGGATACGCGTTTTGCACGCTTCTATGAACGCGCTGCCTGCCGTCGGATATACTTCCGTAATCACAAAAATCCGTGGAAGCTGCACGGGTTAGTAAAATTCGCGCGGTCAAAAGTCGTCCGAGAAATGTCCTGGAAGTGCCAATTTTTATCCACCCGCGCAGTTGCCAGCGGAGAATCTCTCTCGCGGAGCGCGCGAGTTCACGTCAATGCGAGCCGAAATGATCACCGAGAAAAAACAGGATATAGAATTTATACAGGCATGAACCATATTGCTATACACGCGAACATTTCGGTCGTGCGCACCGTGCGCGCACGCAGCAACAATCAGAAATACAACGTCTTGCAAAAGATAAAATATTTACTTAACGTTTTACGTGAGCAATATATATATATATATATATGGAAAAAACGATAGTTCAATTTCTCTAATTAAAACAATTCTCACACCCAATCATCTATTCTCCGATCGTCTTGATCCGATCATTTGCCTCCTATCGAAAACTTCCTGGCACCTCTTGATACTATTGCGATAATGAAAACAGCTTTGAGGGGAGATCGACCACCTTTTCATTTTGGGTGGCATCGCCGAAAGAAAAATTTCGTAAACGAACGATTTCGAAAAGAAGAAAAGGAGCTGCCTTGCTAATTTCGTCTCTCGACGATTCGACTAATTGTAAGAATCAACTAAGAGTTGCGACAAACCTCTGAATTTCTTTTAACCAACTCTTAAGAATTCTCGTTAAAAATATGAAGAAGACGCGGCGCAGGTTTTTCATCCTTCGCCAATCGTCTTGAGAATTGGATGCGCCTAAGTTCGCCTAAAGCCCGTATCACGCTATGCATTGGAGATCGAGGATTACGATTAGAATTCAACCATTCAGAATGGAATGGATTAAAATTATTTGATCTAGTCAAATTCTATACTTTCAGTCTCCTTCGCACAATCCTCAATCTCCAATACGTGATGCGACACGGACTCAAATCTCATTTGCTTTCTCTCGGCTTTATCTTTCCAATTCGCGCGTGTGGGCGGTATATACGTATTTTTTAAATGTCAACGAAAATTGAACTCGATCGGGCCGACATACGTACGCGTGCGAATCCGGATCTCGCGTGGGATTGCACGTGCGTCGTGCGATCGTACCGGACGCGACGCGTGGTAACGAGAGACATCCGAGCGCGTATTTTTTTTTTTTTTTTGCAAAAGTTTACCTCCGGTGAATCCTGCGTTTTGCGTGCGGCGCTTTGTCTCGTAAAAACTCGTGGCAATTTGATTGTTTAATCGTGATATTTTTTGAGATTCTCGAGCGTTGACCTCGCGACTCTCCGGATGGAAAATGCAACGACGCGGCCCGTCGAACATCCGTAAGTCTCTCTCTCGCGCGCCTTTCTTTTGTATTATTCTCTCTCTCTCTCTCTCTCTCTCTCTCTCTCTCTCTCTTGCGCTATGCCTCACGAAACTACTGTCGACTTACCTGGCGACACAATAAAATTTATTACTTAATACTCTCTCTATATATAATATACTTCGCTACTATTAATCTTTCTCTTCTTCTCTCCTTCGCACAAATATATATACGAGTACGATCTGAAACGCGCGTCCGTTTCTTATGCACGTGTACTGTGAGCACTCAGATTTTCACACCGCGTGAGTGTAATTAGCTCGCGGATAAATCCTCGTCCTAACTTAATTATAATCGTATATCGACGATTATGACTATGGTCGAAAGGTATGTACGGTTTTTTTTTCACGCACGTTAATTATGAACAATTGACTTCGTACTCGTTTCTAAAAAACTTATAATCAGATATCGAAGAGCGCTTTCTCTCTCTCTCTCTCTCTCTCTCTCTCTCATTCTCCCTCTCACACTGTTCGAAACGGTAATCTCTCTAATTTTCGCGCCCGAGTTTTTGCTAGAATACGCCTCATTCGCACAGTACATTCTCTTTGAGGAAAATTAGAGGGTAAATTGTTATGCACTGCACGAGAAAAAAATATACGCGGCTCACTTTCTTGCCAGCTTGACAGGCTATTTCAAAAAGAATTGGCAACAATCTGAGAGAAATTAAAAAATTTGCACATGGAAATGTTGGATCGATTTTAGAGAGACTACATCGACAATATGACGGACAATAATTAGGTGCTACAGTCGCGTACACTTTTGACTTGAATGAGATACTGTCGGAAGTATTGTTGTCGTTCTCATTGTGTTCGACTTTCGAGAAATATTATTGGATTGTTGCATGTTGCGAATATAGGGCGAAGTAATTCTTTTTAATACTGTTCCATGCGAATGCGCGTGTCCGTAGTAAATTTCTAGAATACTGATAAGATCCTAATAGAAGGATAATAGCGAAATGTTACAGGAATGGAGAAAGTTATTAAAAACGTGACACAAACATTAACTGGTTCTATAAATGCAATTATACATCGCACGATCGTATTAATGGATTATTGATTACTTACAGACGCAATGTAATTTAATAAAATAATACTTGATTTCCTCAATTATTAATAACGTTACGCTAAAATGCAAACTCGATTTCTAGATTAATCTACAAAGCTATTTATAAAGTACGAGTTTTTCTTAAAAAGAATTATAATCTTGATATAAAACATAACAGAGAAGAGACACTAAGTTTGATTTGTCATCCTTTGCCGTTCTTAATAAAGGATTTCGTTATAAGAGTACTTCTAAAAGTCTACAGAATCTATAATCTACAGTCTGTAATCTATCTATACAGAGAAACGAAAAAACCCTTCCGTTAATTTCTCCCAGGCTCATTTTTGTCACGCAAAATTATTTGCAGCGTATCGCTAAATTCAATATTCCTTCAAGAATAAAACTTGCAATTATTTTTTTCAGGAATAAAGCTTGCAGATCCAATTATCACAGTCAGAGGTTTCATATTATTTTCGTAAAGTAATTAATTATTAGTTTCTTAGAGATTTTAGCTCCTGATATTGACGAATATACACAAATAAAAAATAAATACGTATTTATTATATTTATTAATACTTTCTTCCCACGACGCGCTTAACTTTTTTCACGGCTTTATTAATTATTTATTTACATATATTTAAGTTGTATGTGTGTGCGAGATATTAAAACTAAAAGTAGAAAAAATAGAAAAAATTCTCTTCGTCACGATTTAAACTCTTTTCTTTAGTAGAATTAAACAAATTTACTTCTATTTAATTCAGAGGTAAATTTATTATTAAAACTAATTATTATGGATATTTAAATTAATTATTATAGATATTTCAGAAATAAATTTATCGATACGCTGCAATCGGAGATTGAATTCGAGGCGCACCGCTTGTCTTGAAAGAACTCCGATTTTCTTACTGAATAGAAAAAAAAAAACAGCAGCTTACCTACATTTACGCTACATTAATTTTTGACTAATCGTCACCACCGTTTTGTTCTCCTTCTCTATTAATTAATTTCGGGAACGCTGAGAGATATTAGGGACTTTATACACATATTACGCTTACCTCGCGCGATCGCGCCGGTCGTTATAAAGTAATTTATCTAAACTGTATACGCCGGTCTACGTTTTACCAGCGTGAATCTTAACTGCACGTATACCGACTACGAGACGCCTAGAAGACGCCTCGGCCTCGGTCGCGAATTCCTCGGCGATCCGGAGAACCGAGTTCTCGTCCTCCACGGCGCAAACACATGTTCGCCTATCGTTTAGCCTCCCTCTCATAAAGCGCATAATCTGAATATCCATTTGTTCTACCTAGCTAAAACACGAAGCCTTCGCG